GTTGTAATCATGGCTCCCGACAGAGCAATAATTGAGCAGGCCGTCAAACTCGTCTTTGAAGCATCAAATAACAACGCCGAATACGAAGCCCTTTCTGACTGGTTTGCGGAATGCACATCTTCTGGGTGCTTAGCGTTTGCTTGTATTTTGCGATTCAAAACTGGTGATCAATCAGCTAAAGGGGGAGTACGTGGCCAAAAACGACCGTATGGCGGCTTACATGAAATCGGCTAACGCCCTACTGACAAAATTTGACCATCATGAATTGAATCAGATAACACGTGATCAGAACACACATGCAGATGCCTTGGCTTGCCTAGTCAAACTCGGCTTCGAAGCATCAAATAATGAGGCCGAATACGAAGCCCTACTAACTGGTTTGCGGAATGCACATCTTCTGGGTGCTCGGCGTTTGCTTGTATTTTGCGATTCAAAACTGGTGATCAATCAGCTAAAGGGGGAGTACGCGGCCAAAAACGACCGTATGGCGGCTTATATGAAATCGGCTAATGCCCTGCTGACAAAATTTGACCATCATGAATTGAATCAGATAACACGTGATCAGAACACACATGCAGATGCCTTGGCTTGCCTAGCCTTCGCCATTAACTCAGAGATTAAACGGACCATCGAGGTGGGTTTCATCCCGGAGCCAAGCATTGGTCTAGAGGAAATCCAAGTCAATGTCATAGAATTTGGACCGAGTTGGATGGATCCCATTGCTACATTCCTGTCTTCCGAACTGCTCCCAAAGGACAAGAAAGAAGCGCACAAGCTGCGAAACAAAGCCCTGCGTTACTACTTGGATCCGCAAAGAAAGCTTTATAAAAAATCCCTTTCTGGTCCCATACCTAGAATGCGTGCACCCGGACAAAGTCGAAGAGCTTCTGACTGAAATACATGAAGGCAGTTGTGGCGGACATTCTCGCGGGCGCTCTCTGGCCCATCGAGCTATAACACAGGGCTATTATTGGCCGACAATGAGATCTGATGCCGAATGCTATGTGAAAAAATGTCAACAATGCCAGAAGTTCTCCCCGTTAACCCATCTGCCTGCTGAAGAGTTAAGCTCTATTACCAGTCCCTGGCCGTTCGCCCAGTGGGGACTTGATATCGTAGGACCATTGTTGAGGGCCCGAGGGAACAAGCGATACTTGATCGTCGCGACAGATTACTTCACAAAATGGGTCGAAGCTGAGGCATTAACGCGCATTCGAGATGCTGATGTTAAGCGTTTTGTATGGAGAAATATCATAACACGATTCGACATTCCAAGGGCTCTTATCTCAGACAACGGCACCCAATTTGATTGTGGCGTCTACCGAGAGCTGTGCAGCAAGTATGGTATCCGGCCTTACTTTTCATCGCCGGCTTACCCCCAAAGCAATGATCAAGCCGAAGCCTCGAACAAACTATCTTGGATGGCATCAAGAAGAGACTGGAGAAAGCTAAAGGCAAATGGGTTGAAGAATTGCCGAGTGTATTATGGGCTCATCGAACTACGCCGAGGCGATCCACTAGAGAAACGCCATTTTTTTAATGCTTTGGAACCTAGGCGATCATACCTCTGGAGATCGGCCACCAACCCTAAAGTCGTAAGTTTTTTGATATGGGCCGAAACGACATGATGTTGGCTTTGGATTTGATCCTGATCGAAGAAACAAGATACCGTGCCCTTGCGTCCATGGCACGATACCAGCAACAGTTTGCTAAGTCGTACAATCAACGTGTTCAGCTGCGCAGTTACACACCATGAGAATTGGTCCTGAAGAAAGTACTTCCAGCTGCCAAGAAATCGGCTGATGGAAAATTGGGTCCTAACTGGGACGGCCCCTATCAGGTCGATTCGATCGCAGAAGTAGGGGCATATCGGCTCAAAGACATGTCCGGAAGGAGTCTGCCACGGCATTGGAATTCAACGCACTTGCGTAAATTCTATCATTGAACCCGACTTGTGGGAAATGATACTAGATTTGAATGGTACACCATGCACACTCTCCACTTTTGTAATGTAAAGATCCCTGTTTACTTATTGCGAAAACAGTTCAAAAGTGTTCCGATAAAGCCTCCGGATTCGGAGTGCCCTTCGTGGATATCACGATTGGCCAAATAAATTCTCCAAATTCGGAGCTCCATCGGCGCATGACGTCTTTGGGTCGATAAGCCTTCGGATTCGAAACGCCTTTCGTGGATATCACGATTGGCCAAATAGTCTCCGAATTCGGAGCCTCATCGACGCATGACGTCTTTGGGCCGATAAAGCCTCCGGATTTGGAGCGCCCTTCGTAGATATCACGATTGGCCAAATAAAGTCTCCGAATTTGGAGCCCCATCGACGCATGACGTCTTTAGGTCGATAAAGCCTCCGGATTCGGAGCGCCCTTCGTGGATATCACGATTGGCCAAAGAGTCTCCGAATTCAGAGCCCCATCAGAGCATGACGTCTTTGGGCCGATAAAGCCTCCAGATTCGGAGCGCCCTTCGTGGATATCACGATTGGCCAAATAAAGTCTCCGCATTCGGAGCCCCATCGGCGCATGACATCTTTGGGCCGATAAAGCCTCCGGATTCGGAGCGCCCTTCGTGAATATCACGATTGGCCAAATAAAGTCTCCGCATTCGGAGCCCCATCGGCGCATGACGTCTTTGGGCCGATAAAGCCTCCGGATTCGGAGCGCCTTTCGTGGATATCATGGTTGGCCAAATAAAGTCTCTGAATTCGAAGCCCCATCGGCGCGTGACGTCTTTAGGCCGATAAAGCCTCCGGATTTGGAGTGCCTTTCGTGGATATCACGATTGGCCAAACAAAGTCTCTAAATTCGGAGCCCCATTGGTGCATGACGACTTTGGACTGATAAGCCTTCGGATTTGGAGTGCCCTTCGTGGATATCACGATTGGCCAAACAAAGTCTCCGAATTTGGAGCCCATTGACGCATGACGTTTTTGGGCCGATAAAGCCTCCGGATTTGGAGCGCCCTTCGTGGATATCATGATTGGCCAAATAAAGTCTCCGAATTCGAAGCCCCATTAGTGCATGACGTCTTTTGGCCGATAAGCCTCCGGATTCGGAGCCCCCTTCATGGATATCACGATTGGCAAAATAGTCTCCGAATTCGGAGCCCCATCGGTGCATGACGTCTTTGGGCCGATAAGCCTCTGGATTCGGAGCGCCCTTCGTGGATATCACGATTGGCCAAATAGTCTCCAAATTCGGAGCCCATCGGCGCATGACGTCTTTGGGCCGATAAAGCCTCTAGATTTGGAGCGAGGGCGTGGTATCTAGTTCGGCTAAAGATAGATGAGCATCATCAGGGATATTATAGTCCTTATGGAATTCGTCAATAGCCCCATGTAAGTCCACCAGGAACCGATATTTACCCATATAACTTATATTGTGTACAAATTAGCATGGTAGCCTAGCTCGATGTTGAGATGACTTTGAATGTCTCGATTGAGCGGTAGTGCAAAGATGTGCCTGGCCATCCTAGTCAAGTCTGCAAAGTAGAGATAAAAAGTGTTATGCCCAGATCACTGGATCGGGCTGAGCAAGAAGGCAAATAAATATAACTCTAGATCGGCTAAAAGGGTTGCAACCCGTTTTTTAATTCGGTCATAGCACGAGTTTTTAGCCCGGTTATTGAACATTAAGGATCTTAGATCAGTCATAACACAAGGCGTGGCTCAAGGTTTTTAGTTCGGCTATTGGGTGAGGTCTTCTAGTTCGATCGAGTACGCACCTATTACAAACAAGTTCCTAACTCGGTGTGGTGTTACTTTAGATCAAAAGGATCACATTCCAGATTGATTAAGAATTCAGCTAAGGTGTGATTGTGGTCTGGGCATGTGGTTTTTTGAGTTCTCATGGTCCTTACCCATTTGTGTGCAACTACAAGAGTGCATTTTTGAAAAACATATGTATATATATATGTCTATACAATACATACTCGTGGAATAACCAAAAAAGAAAGGATTAAGCCACTTACAGTTTCAAAGTGAAAAGGCAAAGATCAATGCAGTGAGGATGCTGGCTATTACAGATGCTATAGTCGTGAATATGGAGACTCAAAGGGCAAGTGAGAGAAAATGAACAGTGGAGTGTTTGGTTCAAAAAGAAGGGTTTTTGTATAAAGCATAAAAATGGGCGGAATTGTTCAAAATTTTCGAAGAACGAAGACGGCTGTGTCAGTGGTACTTGACCAATGGGAGCAAGCCACGTGTCCAAGGGAATAAATAACGATTCAGACGTACTTGAAAAGCGGAACGACGTGCAGAGTAATTGACAAGACGTTTTTGGACTGGGCAAATCAGTAGTCCGGTAGAGAATGAGCTCGGTTGTATTACTTGCTTTAGTTCGGTCAGCTTGGACGTTTTAGCTTGGCTAGAGAAGAATAATCTCAAATCATGTGCTGTAGATGGAATTAAAGGGCAATTGAGAGGGTAATTTGTGTGAAACTTGGGCCGAGCTGTAGGCCGAGGTGAATGGTCTTTGCAACTGGACCCTGTTAGCTCAGTTAAGAATGGCTGCGATTAGCTCGGTTGGAGTATTTTGAACCAAGGCATGGATGAATGAGGGCCGAGCTAGGCATTGCTCATGAATGCACCGAACTGGGTGTCTCAGAATGCTAGAGATAGCTCGGTTGTGCTGTCATTCTGCCATGGTAAAACCATCCCACTTGGTTAAGCAGTGGGGAGGGTGCAAAAAGATGAGCATTACCTTTTTGATTCTTAGGAGGACTCTGCTAAAAGAGAGTTGAAGTCTTACTAGGATTGTGCCATGTGAACTCTATAAACGCTCGTAACAGGACCTATGTACAGGTATCACAATTTTGACTCTCAAATACACAGAGCTTTTGTCTATTGTCCATTTGCTGACTTAGGCATCGGAGAGGTATCCAGCACACACCCGCCGACTAGCTCATGTTTATGTTTTCAGGGAGTAAAGCGACGACATTTGAAGGAATATAAATTTAATCAAAAAAATTATACGAGAAAATTATTTCGTACTCGTACACATGTTAAAACCAAAAACATACCGCAGAGATGTTGATGATTGAACAGAGAATAAAAAACCCATTCCACGTAACATTGCCTCCTCTCAAAACATGAATGTTGCGGCTGGGAACGATGACATGATTATCGGAAAGCAACTTCTCCTGAAAATAAATAAATTATATAAAGGGGAATTAAAATTCGGTGGTAACTTTTAAAAAAATTATAAAATAATGAAAAAATATAACATTTTAATTATTAAAATTTATAAACTTTATTATATTGATTTGTAATTTTTTTTTTACACTTAACTGTATATTTTTTTCCCCTTATAATCATTATCTGATTGATGTTACATCGTTATATAATAATAATTTCTATGTACTCTTCAGATATTTATCTACATCTTTTATTTTAATCCGCTGCATTATTTAATTTAATTGCTTGGAATTAATCTAAGAAATTTTATAATTAGCTAGTTGCGAATCCAGCCCTGGTCACTAGGATGGGTCGTGACAAAGTAGTATCAAAGCAATGGTTAAAATAAATTAATTAAATTAAATTAAATTAGTTAAATAAAAATAAATAAATAAAATAACCTTATGATTATAGTCTTACCTTAGTCCTTATAGTGATAAGTATTTTCTTAGTTCTATAGCTAAGTTGGGCATCCTGTGGTGTAGGTAATGTCAGAACTTAACTTTACGGTATTATATATATATATATATATATATTATTTTTAAATATTATAGACACACAGGTTTTAAAAATATAATAGAGAAAATATGATGGAGAAATGATCTTGTTAAAGTGCTCCAAAGGAACAAGAAAATAACAAAAAAAAGTATGTACATTTTGAGATATTTATTATTAATTCAATACATATTTTTGTTAATTTTAAAATACTTTTTTTTTTGGGGTACAATTTTGCAAGAAACTTTTATAAAGTGTAAAAATTAAATTGTTCAATTAAAACAATAAAAAAGTAAAATTTGAGTCAACTATTAGAGTGAAAAGTGTAATCTATTCATTAAAATATATGAGTTGGTAGTCTTAATTGGTGGTTTTTGATTTATTTTATTTTTATTATCTTTTGTTCTTTCCTGGTAGTGTTTATATAAGGGGAAATAACAATACAGGCAAGTGTAAAAAAAAATTACAAATCAATATAATAAAGTTTATAAATTTTAATAATTAAAATGTTATATTTTCATTATTTTATAATTTTTTTAAAAGTTACCACCGAATTTTAATTCCCCTTTATATAATTTATTTATTTTCAGGAGAAGTTGCTTTCGATAATCATGTCATCGTTCCCAGCCGCACATTCATGTTTTGAGAGGAGGCAATGTTACGTGGAATGGGTTTTTTATTCTCTGTTCAATCATCAACATCTCTGCGGTATGTTTTTGGTTTTAACATGTGTACGAGTACGAAATAATTTTCTCGTATAATTTTTTTGATTAAATTTATATTCCTTCAAATGTCGTCGCTTTACTCCCTGAAAACATAAACATGAGCTAGTCGGCGGGTGTGTGCTGGATACCTCTCCGATGCCTAAGTCAGCAAATGGACAATAGACAAAAGCTCTGTGTATTTGAGAGTCAAAATTGTGAACCTGTACATAGGTCCTGTTACGAGCGTTTATAGAGTTCACATGGCACAATCCTAGTAAGACTTCAACTCTCTTTTAGCAGAGTCCTCCTAAGAATCAAAAAGGTAATGCTCATCTTTTTGCACCCTCCCCACTGCTTAACCAAGTGGGATGGTTTTACCATGGCAGAATGACAGCACAACCGAGCTACTCTAGCATTCTGAGACACCCAGTTCGGTGCATTCATGAGCAATGCCTAGCTCGGCCCTCATTCATCCATGCCTTGGTTCAAAATACTCCAACCGAGCTAATCGCAGCCATTCTTAACTGAGCTAACAGGGTCCAGTTGCAAAGACCATTCACCTCGGCCTACAGCTCGGCCCAAGTTTCACACAAATTACCCTCTCAATTGCCCTTTAATTCCATCTACAGCACATGATTTGAGATTATTCTTCTCTAGCCAAGCTAAAACGTCCAAGCTGACCGAACTAAAGCAAGTAATACAACCGAGCTCATTCTCTACCGGACTACTGATTTGCCCAGTCCAAAAACGTCTTGTCAATTACTCTGCACGTCGTTCCGCTTTCAAGTACGTCTGAATCGTTATTTATTCCCTTGGACACGTGGCTTGCTCCCATTGGTCAAGTACCTGACACAGCCGTCTTCGTTCTTCGAAATTTTGAACATTCCGCCCATTTTTATGCTTTATACAAAAACCCTTCTTTTTGAACCAAACACTCCACTGTTCATTTCTCTCACTTGCCCTTTGAGTCTCCATATTCACGACTATAGCATCTGTAATAGCCAGCATCCTCACTGCATTGATCTTTGCCTTTTCACTTTGAAACTGTAAGTGGCTTAATCCTTTCTTTTTGGTTATTC